ATGCCAGAAATAATGATTTCGATACCGCGCTCCATCAAGCTGCACTGTATGGGCACAAAGAAGTAGTATATCTGCTCCTCTATAAAGGTGCCACTATCGACGCAAAGGATAAATATGCATACACTGCACTTCATGTTGCTGCAGCTGCTGGGCATAAAAGTGTAGTCGAAGTGCTTCTCAGCGCCGGCGCCGCTATTGATTCAAGGAGCGAAGACTTAAGTTCTGCTCTTCACCTAGCTGCAAATAATGGACACAAAGAAGTAATCTATCAACTCTTAGATGGTGGTGCGGACATTAGCGCTGTCAATGATGTATTGAAAACCCCACTTCACGAAGCAGCGCAATATGGACACAAGGAAGTAGTACAGCTACTTATCGACAATGGTGCGACTGTGAATGCGAAAAGTGCGGATTCAAGGACTTCACTTCATCTGGCTGCCATGAATGGACATATCGAGGTAGCATCTCTGCTTCTACGCATGTGTACCAGTGTTGATCAGACGCCTGAAGATTTTATTCCTGTTTTCGCGGAGCAGTCGGAAAATGATGATGTGCAGATGGCAAATCTGGAATTGGGAAATGGTGCTGATATTGAAGCACTTGATGTGGAGAATCAGACTCCTTTGATTGTGGCTGTGAAAGCGGCGCACCTTAGTATGGTTTCTCTATTAATTAGCAAAGGAGCAAATATAGAAGCAGCTGACAGCGACTCGTTAACAGCTTTACATTGGGCAGCTGTTAATGGTGACACTGGCGTTTTGGAGTTGCTATTGAAAAAGAAAGCATCTATCGAAGCTACGACAGAACATGGCAATACCGCTCTTCATCTTGCTGCAGAATTCAATCATCCCAACATTGTGGCAACTTTACTCGCCTACGGTGCCAATATAGATGCTAAAAACGAAAATGAGAATACACCAATTCAAGTAGCTACAGTAAAATGTCACATTGGTATAATTCATCAGCTGAAAAATGCAGGCGCAAAATTAGACAGCGCAGAAGACATTGAGCTCTCGCTTTTACACCAAGCTGTAGATGTTGGTCGAGTTGAACTGGTCAAGGAAGCTCTAGAGATGATTAGCAACGTAGAAGAAAGGACCTACTATATGAACAGAACGCTACTCAGAGCGTCGCAATATGGCCAACTTGATGTAGTGTCATACCTTTTAGACATCGGCGCAGATATTGACGTATACGATAATGATGGTCTCTCGCCTCTCTTCTTAGCGGTTCAACATCCAGAAGTAGTGTCTATGTTGATCCATCGTGGAGCCCACATAATGGGCATGAGCAATGCAGCTCAAAGTTGCACCGTTCTCCATTATTTTGCATCCCTCGGTCAAGATCAAGCATTGAAAATTCTGTTGAACTGTGGTTGTGATATTCATTTGACTGACAACAATCATAACACAGCTCTCCACTATGCTGCTAAATTCGATCAATGTAGTGTAGCAACTCTATTGATTGAAAACGGAGTTGATATGAATGTCAAGAACGATGAAGGTGAAACAGCTCTGCATATTGCAACAGCAAACGATTTCTTTGATCTAGCAAGTGTGCTGATCGACAGTGGTATCGACATTGAAGCGAAGGCACTTGAATCGGGATCAACTGCGTTACATATTGCGGTGAAAAACAACAACTTGGAACTAATCACGCTGATGTTGAGGCGATCTGTTGATGTCAATTCAAAGAATATAACCGGGGAAACCGCCTTGCACTTGGCGGCTGAAGCTGGACTCCTGAACTTATGCAATCTTTTAATTGAACACGGTGCAGATGTAAATTCATACGACGAGTCTCAAGCTCCCCCATTGTACTATGGAGTGGCATCGTTCGACCCAGATGTAGTCCGTCTCTTGCTAGATCGTCATGCTTCCGTTGAAAAACAGGGCAACTTTATTGAACTAGTGTCATTCGCAATTGAAGTAGCCAATGAGCGTATTGGCTACTTCGACGAGCATAGGTTTATTGCAGTTATTAGGCTGCTGGTCAACGCAGGTGCTGACACTACTGAAGTATCACTAACTGAAGAATTGAAAATGAGGTTCCCCAGATTACAAGACATATTATTCAGATCGGCCGATCAACCTCTAAATGTGGAAAGACAGCCTTTCATGCGACCAATGTCCATTTTACATGAAGATACAGAAGCAATCAATTCAACAATTGATCCAACAGAGCTTATACTAAGAAGGGTTGGACATAAAATTGGTAGTGAACATTCCAGTAAGTATCAACAAAGCACATGTGCCTCCCTTTTTCTTCTTTATTAAAGCTAATCTTATGTTATTTGTGTCTCAGGTGGCTTACGTGACGAGAGATGGCTGAACCACACTAAGCACAAGTATGGTTATGGCTTTCCAATTTCAAAGAGACATCAGTTCAATAACTTACTGGATGTAAGTAAAAGAGATACCCAGAGCATATCCGCAGAGAATGCCTCATATGTGAACTTGCATAAGCTGTTTGAAGCGAGATCTGCAAACAAACGTGCTGTAGATGTAATACAAACCTTGTTCGAAAGCTTTGACGCCAATCTGTTCATGTCAAACTACTTTCTCATACTGGAGTTGAACACATGTGTCGACACAATCCCTCCAACATGGGCATCCGATTTTGATATGATGAAAGGCATTATTCGAGAGCCTGGTCGATTGATTGTGCAAATTCCTCCAAAGAACACTGCTTTGTCCACACCAACATGGCAGCATGATATCCATCCATATCTTCAGTTTATTGATGCTGTGTATCTTTGCCGTAAATCATCTATTGACCTTGATGAAGAGGCATTTGCGGACATACTTGGTGGCCCAGAGGGAACGCTTGCAACTGATTTGCATGCCATATTTATAGCAGGACTCAGCATTCTTAGTATAGCCGGTGGAGATGGACTTGTTGAGAAGCTAGTAGCAGCAATCCT